TATATGTTTTAAACTTCGGTGACTCACGAGTGAGCTATTAAATTATGGAAGCTTGCTTATTATGCATTTCTTTGATAAACTTGTATAATAATTCTAAATTACAAAACAACAAAGACCAAGTATTGATATATAAAAATAATTGGTTAGAGAAGTACCTGCCGTATTAGAATTGTTATGACCTAATGGTAAACCGGTGAACTCTTAAGGAAGCATCTAAATTTTCCCAACTCCTTGTATCTGAACAAAGAGTATTAATCACACAGATGTCAAATGGCTGATCTGATCTGGTCAATAGTATAGCCAAAATAATTGGGTTGAGTACTTATGGTTATTTCCGTTACAAAATTGGTCACTGGTTAATTTGGTTAATATATTGGATGTTCTAAAACTAGTAGTTGGTATAGTAAGTACCTTTTCTATACAAAAAAAAAAAAACAGAAGTTATATTTGCTATGGAAAATAGAGTACATAACATATATTCTGAACTTCAGGGATTAAAAAATCTACTGGTGAGACAAAGCATAAAATGTTGAAAGTAAAATAACACTACATTCAAATATGTAAGAGATACTGAAGTACAATGTAGGGTACTGTACACATTAAATGAGGAATAGAGACTCCTGATAGATCATGTGGAACGCATTCCCATAAGTTTTCCTATCCCCAGAAGGCTTCTGGAAAATTCCTCTCAGAGAACATATCTGAATGCAAGTGAATAAGATGGACGTTGTAAGAATTGCCTAAATCCACTAAAATTTATTGACTAAAACATTAGCATCTTGACTCTCATTAGTAAGACATTACTCTTGTGATAGATTTCAAACTAATAATGAGCTATTTGTTCTTTTCAAAGTCATAATAATAATAATTACTACTGATCTGTACTGTCTGAAAAGGTAGCCACAAACCACATATGGCTGTTGAGCATTTGAAATGTGGCTACTCCAAATTAAGATGTGTAAAATACATAGTGGTTTTTGAAGTCTTAATAGGAGAAAGTGAATGTAAAGTATCTTCTTAATTTTATATCAATTATAGGCTTATATGATATTTTGGGAAATTAGGTAAATAAAACATTACAATTAATTTCATCTGTTTCTTTTTACTTTTTAGTATGGCATCTAGAACATTTAAAATTACATATATGACTTACATTATATTTCTATGTAGCTGCATTGCTACAGACAAAACCCTTTGAATTCAGAGGAGAGAATTTACTCTAAGTTGATAAAATTTTAGGGAAGTATTCATGTGAAAAGTGTCTTATTCCTAACATATCCTAATATATCATCATCCTGCCTCTGCTTGTATATTTTCAGCAATGGGAAACTCACTACTTTAAAATTAGTGCTTTTAAGAAAGAAAAAAATTTTGGCACTAATCAGTTGTTCCTGTATTAAACTAAAATTGAGGCTCCAAGTAATTTCTACCCATTGATTCAAGTTATTCACTTTGGAACCACACAGAATAATTCAAATCCCTAATCTGTATAATGGCCTCTTAAACAAATGCAGAGTAATCTTTGATCAGGAAATCCAGACCCTACATATACTACTAATAAAATCTAAGTTTGCATTATCTTGCTTGATTAATTAGTAAATCATTTTGTGGTAGTATTTCCTAAAAGCTATTTGTATCTGCTTATATTGTTTTTGTACTTTGTGGTATCAGTTACTAGAATTTGGCCAATCAGGTCTTTTCAATTTTATAGAACAAAAATTGGGTTATTTAAAATTCTAGACCATTCAAGAGCTCCTTGAAATGTTTATTCTACTACCCCATGATTAGTCATTCATTTACTTAGTTTGTCGGGCAATATTCATTTATGAGTGCCTACTATGTACCAAGAATGACTCCAGGTTGAACAAGACTTGACAAATACCTTATCTTCATGGGGTGTTCATGGAACTCATCCTTCTCATTGCATGTCTTTTTGCATGCTTTTTGTGTCTCCAAATATTTCCTGATGAAAATACTGCACAGAGCAGAACAAATACAAAGCCCTTTGGCATCTTCTTTGAAACTACCCTGTGCATTGATACAGATTAATTAATCAACAAGTTTTGTTGTTCAGAATGACACAGTGTTACCAAACTGAGTCTCAGTTTCTCCATGCTCACCTTTGGAATTTAATGACTTTGTCAGTTACCTTGGTAAAATAGAAATGCTCTGTCAACAAGCATTTATTTTATCCTTCATAAACCATATGTTTTCAAAAGAGAATCTTTTAACAGAGTCAACGGATAGGTACGATTTTGAGAGGAGACCGAGTCAGTACTTGTCGAGCATTTGTTGTATGTCACGTGGATACATAGGATTTGGGGAGAAAATGATAACCCATATTTATTGAGCATTTATTGTATCTCAGACAACCTTCTAACTACATTTGATCCTCATAACAACCCTATGAGGTAGATATCCTTCTTATCTTCATGTTACAAATAAAGAAACTGGAGTTCAAGGGGGACACATAACTTGTCCAAAGTTCCCCAGCTACTAAATGGTGGAGCCCAGATTCAGTCTTGGCATTCTCATGCAGGAGCATAGGCTCTTCACCAGAAGATTAAAAAAAAAAAAATTCTAAGGGCCAAGAAGCAGGGAAGTACCCAGAGTTCACCAATAGGCCTGTAAGAAAGCCTGATATTAAGAGCACTTAAATAAGGCTAGAAAGGTCCTTGGGGCAATATTAGGGGAAGTCTTGACTATCGTGCTGGAGTTTAGACTTCATTCTACTTTTACACTTCTTGAATAGAGAAATAACTTAATGAAAGCCATGTTTTTGGAACATATTGACCTGATCACAGTGCACAGGATGGAACTGGTCATGTGAGAAGGAGATTATACCCCTGTAAGGAGGTTATTGCCTTAACTCCTGTGTAAGAACTACAAGAGATGATATCTCTGGGAATAGAAAGCAAGTAGATCATGGTGAATGAATTCACAATTATTTGATTTGATTAGATATTAGAGTGAAGTGTTGAAAAATAACATGACTCACACTTTAAGCCTGGGTGACTGAGGAAAAAAAAGGTCTTCTATTTACAGAACTAGGGAAGTTGGTGTTGCAAGCAGCTTGGGGGGAAAGATAATGAGCTCATTTCTAGACATGTTGAACTCTAAGAAATCGGCTGGCTATTGGAAAGTCTATGTTGAATTCAAAAATTCAGCTTAAGATGAATATCTGGGAGATACTGTGAAAGTTATAGTTAAATTTGGGAAGATAATACAATGCATTAGGCAAGGAGTATTGAGAAAGATGCTTGGAGGCCCAAGTTCTGAGCCTTTGAAACTACACCCTGTATTTGATTATGGGGAAAGAGGGTGAGCTAGAGAGGTAGCATGCGTAGAAGTAAAATAGATAAATCTGCCTGCAAATGGACCCATGTTATTCTGACACCCAAGCACTCAATAAAAGTTATTTTAAAAATACCTATTGTTGTATTTTCACATAATTATGTAGAACAATGCAGTTGCTCTAATTAAATATTAGCAAATGTGAACAATTCAATAACACAAAATAGTATCAAATTAAGATTAGTTATGATTTGAAAAGTTGTTCATCTTTTTGCATTTATAATACTTTGAGAAATATGTTTTAAAAGTGTAGAGGTATGTTTATAATACAGCGGTGGAAACGTCCCTTAAGCATATTTACAATACTCCCATTCTGTACTGGTTCAAGAACCAACTATGACATTTCAAATTGCAAATGTTCATTAGGATTTAAAAATAATACTGAAAATAAGTCACTTTTTAAAAAGAGCCCATAAATCCTTTCTGGTGTGTGTAAAAGTGCCTGACAGATAAGTGTCTATTTGTGTTGTGTGTGCGAATCACATTCTCGTTAATATTATTTGATTATTCACTTTTTCAGGAGTAGATATTTGTTTTTTCCTTGAACACTTATCTTTATTGTCCTCTAGGAGATGCTGTTTAATAAAGAAAGAGTAAGATTATGACTGGGAATGTGATGGGGAACAGTAGGTGGGGACCAGACTTGATGCATGCCGTCGTCCTGGCATAGGACACCAGGGGTCGTTCCTGAATTGGTTTTACAAATGGGCAAATGTTTAGCTCTGTAAAAAAATAAGATTTCTGTATGTCATCTATGAGTTTTCAGAAGCTATCAGGTATAAAATATTTTTAGTGTTTTAATGCAAAGAAATTGAATACAGGGTAAAGATCAATAGCATGTTTATTTTATTAACTGTTTGAACTTTGATAATTAAATATTGCCCACTCTTTTGAATATATATTTGATTTCCAATGTATTTTTAATCATCACTCCTCTTCAAGTGGTTTCTTTAGAAAAAAGGGGCTTTAAAGTTTTTTGAGACTATGGTCAATATGAATTTCAAAATCAAAGAAACTTATGTTTGTCAAGTTGGAAAATATATTCAGATTTTTTATGTGAAATATTCTGGGTTCATTCATTTGAATTTTTTGTGCTACCAAAGAAAGTATTCCTAAGGCAAGCTCATGGCATTGTTTGTCTTATGAGAGCATGCCTGTCAAATTTTCCATGCTAAAAATGTGATTTAAAATATTGGAGCAGATTGCCATGTAGTTTTTCTGAGGGTAAGGAGACAATTCTGCTTTTCTACCTGAGGTTACTGTTACTTGGTGAATGACGCAATTTCTGATAAGACATATTTACACAAATGGTATTTATATCAGAATATTTTAAATAAGATCAAATTCAACTTTAGAATATGAACAATTAGCTCAAATATATGGAAATGAACTTTTGTTGAAAAAAGAGAATGACAAATTGCATTATCTTGCATGTATGTTCAGCTCTGATGATGTTAAATGTTTGTCTTTATTTGCATCCTCAGGTACTTTCCCAGTTGTATTTCAAAGCCTTCATAAAATATAACATGGAAACATAATGCATGTCATTATTTTAACAACAGGAGGTTGAACAAATGTAATTTTTTGCGTTTATGTTTCTAATAAAAAGTAATTTTGATTTAAATTAGCACTATCTTTTTTTTTAGGCCTCCATTCCTTTGAAGGAATTGGAGCAGTTTAACTCAGATATACAAAAATTGCTTGAACCACTGGAGGCTGAAATTCAGCAGGGGGTGAATCTGAAAGAGGAAGACTTCAATAAAGATATGGTAAATTGGTTGTGATAAAAGTATGAATGACCTAGGAGTGGAAATGAATAAATATTTGGAAAGAAATTAGATAACTCAAGTCTCCAACTAAGTTCTCGGTGCATACCTTGCACATTTTGTGATTCTAATGATTTATTACAAATGCAAAGTATTCTGGTTGAATGTTTATTATGAATGCCAGATTACTGTGGTATGGTCACATAGGAGCACTTGCAGATCCTAAGAAGTAGTTCCGCAGTTTTGCTTTGACCTGTGCTATTTTCAAACTCAGAGAACAAACTGTAATGGAGGGAAAAGAGTTAAATTAGAAAATAAATTGGAAATTTAATAAGAAACTCAGCCATCAAGGATGGATGGTGTTTTGTGTCAGTCATGATTTTGGTAATATAACGTTTATTTCAGAGGGAGGGTATTAGACACAATATAAAAAATATTTATTAAAGTTTACCACAAAGTGGTTTTCACAAAAAGTTGATGAAATAGTACAATAGATATCTAAAATATGTATAAATTCATGCTGCTTATTTCATGGGAGTAAAGAAATATAACCATGTGGGCTGTTCCCAAACTCATAACATTCTCCTTCAACCCTGATTAATTTCAAAATGTCTGTTACATTTCTCTCCGGCTTGAATATTTCTGCATCACACCTCTTTTCACTGACTTTTTTCTCCTTCCACGTCCTTGTCACAATTTCCTTTTCCCTCTTCCACAGCCATCACCAACATGGCATTCTTAACTTCTACATATATCATGCTTGAGATTTCTCAGACATGTATCAATGTTAGGAAATTCTCAGACAATGCTTTAAAATGACATTAAAAGGCAATATATGAATTTTAGTTAGTAGGCATGTGAAGCAATAGGAAAACTATTTTCCACCAATCTTAGTTTGCACTGGTATCAATTCTGAATTCCTAGAGCAGCCTAAATCAATCAGTACTCCCCGTGTATGGGGTTTGGTGGCTTTGCCAACTCAGCTCAGCAAAAGAATGCCAAGAGGAGGCTTTCCAAGATGCTGAGGTACAGCTACCTCTCCTTCATGTCAAAGAAGAAACCAGAGGGTGCTGAGGTGAAAAAGAGTACTGTTTACCTCGGGCTGTTCACCAGCTCTGCCCTATGGCTAGCCCTTACCTGCTGTGGGAGAAGAAGTGAAGCAGGTTTTTGTTGTTGTTGTTTATTTTTTTGTCCTCAGCCCCAGCAAAGGAAAAACTAAAAGGGAAAGACTTTTTAAAATAAATAAGGTCTTTCACAGATGATAAACATATGTCCGTGTTATTTTATTACACTAGTAATTGACAAATCTCAGATAAAATGCCATTCCTCTGAAAAAATAAATAATTCTTCAGTTGCATATAGCAGTTTAAATATGCACTGCAGATTTAGATAGGTAGCATTTGAGTACTATGGATGATTACACACAAATACACATACATGTGACTTTAAAAAATTGTCTAATATTTGTTATTCTTAGCTCATTAGAGTACCTTGAGTACCACTGCAGGGTGAACCTCCTCAAAAGAAAGCTTTCATATACTGAGTTGAAAGAAAGATAGGAAACTAGAAGTGAAAAATCAAATGGTCACATATGCTACCATATTAGACTGGCACTTATTCAAATAGTTTTCTTTCAAAGTAAATGAAAATATTATTCTTGGAGTTTAAAAGCTAAATGCATACTGAAAATAATTTTCAGGGAATTTTCCTAATCTGTATTTTAATACTTACTGGATTGCATTTATTTAAAAACAACATGCATATCTGATGTATATTTAGAAACTAGTTGCACTATTCGGCAGCAGTGATTGAACACATTTTTTTAATAATGCCCTAATATTTGTACTAAATTTGGACATACAGGTTATTTAAAGTAGGTGACTAGAAATTAGTGTACATTTAAAATATGTTCACTTAGGAGTGTGTTAAAATGTTAAGAATCGTTGCCATCTGACACGTATCCACATCCATATTTTACATGGGCTAGGTTACATTATAGATAACACGTTTAGTTCACTTCTCCAAACTAATTTCAGGAAATCTACCAAAAATCAAAGCCAGAAGAATGCTTCACACCAATTGGTACCTTGTCTGAAATGACGAAGTACCTTACAACATTATCTTCCTACAAATGCCCCCCATCAGGTGTATCCTTTTGAACTGGTTGGCGTCCTTCCTAGATCCTTCTTTTCAAAGCTCAAGTAAACCATATAAAAGCAAAACTATGAGCATAGTATCTTAGAATAACTTTCCTGGAAAGTCTTAAATTGGATTTTTCTGTGTGTTTAAATAACATGTTTTATTATCTCTTTTTAACGATGTACAGCTTATTAAAAACCAAAATGAAGACTGTACTTGTTGTTTTTAATCAGAGTGAAGACAATGAGGGTACTGTAAAAGAATTGTTGCAAAGAGGAGACAACTTACAACAAAGAATCACAGATGAGAGAAAGCGAGAGGAAATAAAGATAAAACAACAGCTGTTACAGACAAAACATAATGCTCTCAAGGTATTAGAGCTAAAATTATAATATACCTTGCCTGTGGTTTTTTTTTTCTCATATGTAGGGTAAACTATATTGTGCATAAATAAAATCTGCTTAAGAGTCTTAGTCACCAGAAAATACATTTTTTTTCCTGTTCAGTGTGTGTGCTTTATTTAACATTTTTGAATGGTGTCTTCGATTTTGAAAGAAGTGTTGCTTAAAAATTTTTTGTTTTTTTGGCTGAGGCAAATTTTCTGAGTAGTGCTTGGAAAATATTACAATGCATTATTCATTGTGTTTATACATTTAATTTTCTGATATAATTATTTTTACATTACTTTTACGTCTGTCTTGAATGACCTGCTTAACTGCCAGAATAACCAATTCATATTTTTGTGGGTTTTCTGCTGCCTATATTTTATTGATTTTATCTAAAGTAGGTCCAGTTTTCTGGTAATCTAATATTTGTTTAATAAGGCCTGGGATTCTACTTAATTTTTTTTCCAATTAACTTCATTTTGCCTTTAAGAGAGTCACTCTTTGCAACTAACGAAGCGTCTAAAGAGTCTAATTTCATTTATAAAGGAATCCTCAAAAATAATGCCCTTGAAGAAGAACTGGCACTCTCATATGAATCAGCGGTAGCGTATAGCCTCAAGCACCCATGTGACTCATCTGGATGTGTGCAGAAAGGACAGAATAGTGTTGGTTTTTCTATAATAATATTTAGGAAGTTCTTGACATGACACTGGACTTGTGAAGAGTTTTGTGAAATAACCTTTTATTTTTTTAATGTGCTTTTCAATATCCCCTATTGGCATGCATGGCTGATTTTCTAATACTGTTAATTGCCAAACTTTTCATTGTAAATCACTCTTGTAGAGCTATGTAGTTATGTGGGTAGATCCACCTAGTAGATGGATGAAGTCTGCTTTCTATATGCAAAAAAAGAGTATAAAACCTTTCCCCATATAGTCAGACAGCCAAATAAACACTGCTGAGAATGTAATTACACAATATTGTGCCCGCAAGGAATCCACAAGGAAAGTCTAATTGGCTAGCAGGTGTTCTGAAGGTAACTGCTGATAAATATAGTAAATAGAAAAGGCCTCTTCCTTGAGGGAGTGCAAGAGCAAGCCATAATGTGCTCAGAAAATCAGAAAGCTGTGTAATTCACACACTTCCAACTGTGACCAGGCTTTCCAAAGCATCTATAGTGGTCATATGATGATATGTGTCCTACTGAACAGCAGTGTTTAATGGTTATCTGGCATATCTCTAAAGAAATCTATATAATGTCTCTAAATATCTTCACACATTACGCATCACCTTGTGCTTAGGGAATGAAAGGAGTTTGAGATTTTATGACCACAAGCCCTTTCTCTTGGCAAAGATGTGAGTTGTGTCACGAATAAGACATGGCTCAGCGCTCATTCACGTGGCTTTATCCTGGTACCTTTGAAAAAAGCAGCATTCCATCTGGCTCATCCCAGGAATTTATTACCTCCACAGGAGGTTTAGAAATTCAACTAAAAATATAAACTGCAGTAAATTTTACATCCTCAATTTTGAACAAAATGAGAATGAAATTTAGATCATTCTTGCAAATAAATGTTAAAAGTGATTATGAAAATCTGCTCCACTTGCCAAACTAATCTACACCACCAAATTCAGTAACTATATTAACCTGCCAAGTGGCTCCAGTTCTAGTCCTTATGAGATATTTCAAAGAAGGTCAGAACTTTTCCAAAGCAATGAATATTTCAGCAGTTCTTTGATATTCCTTATTTTCTTTTGCTCCAGTTAAATCTGTACATGAAACCCTAATTGCTAATGTTCCGAAGAAATGAAAGCTGTATTCTGAACTCTTACGTTCCCTTGTGTTATCGTAAAATGGCATTACAACAAATTCTATTGATCGGGGAAGACATTGGGTGTGCTTGTAAGGAGGAAGATGATAAATTGCCCCCTTTGTTGATTTATTAAGCAGTTGCCCTTATTTATCTCATCATGTTGATTGGAAACCATGCATTTCCCTTTTCTTTTTAAACTAATTCATCATTTTGCATTTGGAACACGATTTGATAGAATAAGTTGGCCATGGAAGAGCAAAAGAAAGAGCATTTTATAATAGTTGTCATTTTCATGTACACTCACAGATATGTATCTTTCACACTTCTATGTATATAGCTCAAAACAAGTTATATGATAACTAGGATGATTTCATGTTTCTAATCACAAAATATTCATGGCCAATGAAAATTTTTATGGGGACTGCTAAAACCATGAATGTAGTTGCTTCACTATGTAAACTTAAAATTTTGTTGATGAACCCAGGGCTGAAGATACAAATTTTAGAATTTGTATCTATTTTAAAAGTCAAGTACAAATTCATTAAATTTGTGCAAGTGTCTGGTTAATACAGGTGTATTCATATACTAAACTATTTCACATAGACTACACGATAATTTAGTTGACTCATTTAGTCAAATAAGACAAGATTTCTGAACAACTATGCACATGTCAGGAGAAAATACTTTAAGTGGGTTGTTCAGTTTCCCTTAGCTTTGTGTGAATAGGTCCTGCCACAAAAATACCTAATTTCATCATCTCTTTGTATATTTAACATTTAAAAGTGAATTTAAGTGAAGCTGTACAAGAAGATGAGGGGTTCATTATTTGTAAATAACTACAGCCAGAAGTGTACTATACATATATATTGATATTTTAATAATATCTGCACCATGAACAGGATTTGAGGTCTCAAAGAAGAAAAAAGGCTCTAGAAATTTCTCACCAGTGGTATCAGTACAAGAGGCAGGCTGATGATCTCCTGAAATGCTTGGATGACATTGAAAAAAAGTTAGCCAGCCTACCTGAACCCAGAGATGAAAGGAAAATAAAGGTAATGTTGTTTTAGAATGTCAATACTAGATTTTATTGCTACAATTTAATTTCTTTATCTTAACATGTGTGGATCATATTTAAAATCGTTGATGTTGTTTCCTCTCTTAATGTTCTCTCTGATTTGCTGCATTTCCTTGTATTGTGTTTTGTTTTGGTAAATGTATTGTATTAAGTGTTTTTTAAATTGACATAATGTGGAATGAATAAAATGTTTTATTTCTAGACAGTGTAAAATGAATTAAGAAATGTCGTATGGTTTCTGGTGAACTTGTAATTGACTTTGTGTATCTTTGTTCCAGATGAACAAATGATTTATCGGTATATGGACGACTTCTTTCTCATGTTAGCACATTCATTTCATCAGAGCATCTTCACACATCAGTGTCAAATCTCTATAGATTGATTTGCATATTGTCCGAAGATGTTTTTTTTTCTGTTATTATTTCACACTTTTTATTTTGCTTCGTTCTCTGTTGAGCTCCTCAAAACTTTAAAAAAGAAAATAAATAAGCACTGACCCTCTAAATTATATTCTATGTGGATGGTCCCTAAGAAATAATGAGTAGCCACTCCAATTTGGGTTAGCCCCAAAACACCAGAGGAATTGAGAAGAAAGGAAAATGTTAGATGGATTTAAATATTTTACTAATTAGCCTATCTAAAACTGAGCATTCGAAGGATAACTGAAATGACATTTGGATCCTTGGGGGAAGATGACAGTGATGGCTTCCATAGTTGTAAATCACGGAACATGACAATAAAATGACAACAGCCTTTGAAATTTCTGAGAGAAGTGTGTGCTGCTTGCGGGTTGGTTGATGTGGTTAGCTAACTGCCCTGGGCCCTGTATTGGTTTTGCTCAATAGGAAATTGACCGTGAATTGCAGAAGAAGAAAGAGGAGCTGAATGCGGTGCGCAGGCAAGCTGAGGGCTTGTCTGAGGATGGGGCCGCAATGGCAGTGGAGCCAACTCAGATCCAGCTCAGCAAGCGCTGGCGGGAAATTGAGAGCAAATTTGCTCAGTTTCGAAGACTCAACTTTGCACAAATTGTGAGTTGTTACTGGCAAACCCACATGTTTGCAACTGCTACCCTAATAACAGGCCTACTAACAAACGGAAAAAAAACAAAACTGGGTGCAATTTCAGACTTCTACTATGCATTCTGAAAGTGAGCAGTTTCCCCTCACTTTGGGCTCCTGCAACGCTAGTGATTAGTTTTTCAGATTAAGAACACAATAAATCAACTCACATAGGGAATAGGCCCTTTATCACAAACGAAAACTGCATCTTAATTTGTTTTGCCACATCATTTTTTCCATAACATTGGCAATGTCAATTTGTCAATGGATCATACATTTACATTATTTCAGTGTGTAATCCAAAAATACGTATTGCTTTCCTGAGACCATCCCATGCCAATTTTACTTTCTTAATGTATACATGGTAAATAATAAATCTTTGGTGAGACATCTTCTTATAGCAACTTGCATAAGGACCTTATCTCATTGACTTAGAAGAATAGTAGTTTAGTCCTCGTATCTGGCTTAACTACTTAATGGGTTAAAAGGCTTTTCAGAAGTGAATGCCTAGTAAGATGGTTTATAACTGATAGCAGATTGGAAAATATCAAATATTGTGACCACTGAAATATTACAAGCCAAAGGGAAAAGGAACAGCTGTTCTTTCAAACAACTGGATGGATATTTGGTGATTTTCTCCTTAAAAAGGCAATTCATAAGCATAAGTTGGGTCTTCGTTCTTTATTTGTAATAGAGTATAAACCATAGGATTTTTTTCTAACAAATACATTTTTTGTTCCTATTCTGAGAAACCATAAAGTGAAGAGGAATGCTTGCTGCTATGTAATCATGCAAAAATAGTGCTTCCCACAAAACAAATGTGTTAAGGCTGGGAAATAAGGATTTCTTCATGTGTTAGGTTGAATCATATGAAGCCAATAGATATTCAATCATTTTCAACCTATGTAAAGGATAATTTCATTTGTTTCAACCTTCAGATGAGACTTTGTGGAATTCCTTATGTGATACTGTTGATTCCATTTAATATGGGGTATTTTAAAAATATGCCTTAGACAGCATAGCTTTATTTTTTAAGCATGTAATTTTGTTTATGCTGCTTATTAACCAAGAGAAAATATACTACATGTTATTGTTACTTCTTTTTACAAAACATTACAAAAATCCATGAATACACTGTTTTTGATGAAATCCAGGACCCTAAGATTTAATAGCAGCTGAATATTTGAGAAGTTGGAAGAAGTAATATAACATATTGAGACTATATTACATTTGAAATCCTATTCCACTGATTGCACATTTCAGCCTATTATCCTTCCTATTAAATGTTATGAACATAATATGTCATAAATCACCAAAGCTTACACTAACAGAAAGCCTGTGTCTGTGGATACAAAATGAATTGAAAGATTAAGGCAACCATAAAGAAAATTCAAGTAAAATATTTTCACTGAATTTAATAGATCATTCAAGGAGAAGTCCCTTGCTTTGATTTATCTCACTACTAACTAATTTCTCCATTCCAACTTTCCCCATATCCTAACACATCCTATGTGCAGGATTAGATTTTTTTACAACCTGGTCAAGGTAAGTTATTAATTTTTTATAGTTAAATGGACACAGGATCAAAAATCTCCACAAACCACCCACTTAAAATGTCATTACGTCCTTATTCATAAAGGGCTCTCAACACATATTTGTAAAACATAATGATGATTGGTAAAATAAACCAAGGACATGTAAAACCAGCATAAAATTTTAAAAGTCATAGTAAAATGCTAAGATGTATTTTCCCCATAAACTGTCTCTTCTTGATTTTATAACTGAAAGAGCCAAAATTCAGAAGGTGCCTGGAGTGGGGAAAATATTTTTTGAATATTTATTTATTTGAAAAAGAGCAAGAGAGAGGGAGTGTGTGAGCATGAGCAGAGGGATGGGCAGAGGAAGAAGGAGAGGGAGAAGCAGACACCCCACTGAGCAGGGAGCCCAGTGGGGGCCTGATCCCAGGACCCCGAGATCATGACCTGAGCCAAAGGCAGATGCTTAACCAACTGAGCCACCCAGGCGCCCCGGGAATATATTTTTAATGTAAACTCTGGGTATCCTTGATAAAAGAAGTAATAATAATATGTATGAAGAACAATCAATTTAATATTACAATTATATTTGGCTTTGAATTTTAATTAGGCATAAAAGATGATAGATAGATCCAAGATGTATCTTTTTATTCCACTGATTACTAATATATATTGAAAAACTGATTTCACATGTCCACCAACCTGGTTAGAGTCATCTTTCCCAATTATCATACAATGAAGCCTTTTGAGATTAGCCACAAGTGAACAGCTTAACCAAAAGTTATGTTTGGAATAATCCTACAGTGGCTCTGATGCAGCACAGGTCATCATAACTTCAGTATTCTTTATTTCCCCCTGGTTCCCCTTCTCTATTTGTCTCATCTTTCATTCTCCCAATTTTCCCTTTCTCTTCTCTCTAGATGTAAATTCTAGACTTCATTTGGACTTACTGATTTTCAGTTAGTCTTTCATATCTTAGGAGTAACAATTCAAGATTGCAGGGAGTACTCTGAAGTGCTTAACATTGAAGAGTTGTGTTTAAAATGAGAAATTATTTTTCCTTGTTTCAGAGACAAAAGCTTAAAAATGGACTAAGCAGTGTAAAAGTTGTGCACTTCAGGGACCATGTCCATGTCAGAACTATATATGGCAGTTATGAAGCTCAGACAAGGTCTGGAACTTTGAGGGAGCTGTGTGGCAGCCCTGGGCCAGACAAGAGTGCAGACCAAAGCAGAGTAGCAAGTTATCTCCAAACCATAGTCCTCAGGACAATCCTAGAGGCCACAAAGAAGGGAAACAGATTGGGAGGAAGCAGGTAAATTTTTCTCTAAGTATTCAGGAGGTTGAAGCCCCTGCCCTAGTTAGGAATAGAAGACAGTTCTAATTCTACTTCTTGTTGACTTGCAGACCTTGCTGATCAGTGAAGACCAAGCAATGATTGTAAACTGAACATGAGGAATTTTTCTGCAGGATGTTTTATAACACCTGTGTGGTCTAGTAAAAAGGCCATTCCCTGGGATGAACAGCCCAGAATATAAATCCCACTCTGTCTTCTAGCTGTATGCTTATGGGTAAATAAATATCTCTCAGCCTGATTTCCCTCATCTGTACAACAGGAATATGGACTTTTGTGATAACGAAAAGTAGTAACATTTATAAAACACCTGCTGTATTATAGGAGCTCAATGAATCAAATTTTTTTCTTCTTCCTTCTGTATGTAACACTGGAAAAGATACGTTATTTTTAATTTTTATGTCTTTTTTTTTTTAAAGATTCCATTTATTTATTTGACAGAGAGACAGTGAGAGAGGGAACGCAAGCAGGGGGAGTGGAAGAGGGAGAAGCTGTCTTTATAGACTGTTAAGAGGATTAGGCTCAGCATGTACCATAGATTTATAATGTTATTAACAACAGGTAGATATATTTTTTCGACGTAGATTACAAATTAGATTCCCTCATCCTTGAACACATAATTGTATCTAGAGTCACAAAGCATTTGCAGGAAATTTCGTACAAAGCTGGTGATTCTACTGATGAAGGCATACTTCCCCATAAACATGTCAGGAATTCTCTATCTAAATTCTTATCTCCTGCAGAAAAATAGAGAAAGAAATAAGAAAAAAACCAAAGGCTTTGAAAATTTCTTAATAGAAAATTACATGTAATTTTTATTAAGCATAATTGTAGCATTTGAAAGTTAATCTCCCCGCGCTCAAGAAAATGCAGCCAAAAAATTACACGAAGAAAGTACCACCACAATCCAGGAACTCCTAAGCAAAATAAGCTCACAGACTAAAATTACAATGGATATGAAAAAAATTCTTTTCATAGACGATGGTAACAGATGCCAAAAAATAAAAGGAGAATGCACATCTGAGGAAATTAAAGATAAGAGAACAGTCAGCAAAGGACATTAAAATAAGTGTTTAAATTTTTTTAAGTAATTGGGGTTTTTTTAATGTTCAAAAAGATTTTTAAAGAGGATGTAATGGAATTCCTACAATAAAAATAGTCCATTTTGAATAGTGAACAGGAAGATTTGAAAAAATAAAAAGTCTAGAGATTAAAATATAATTATTAAAATAATAAACGGCTTTTTAAATAGTTGATTCATCATAGAAGAAAAATGAATATATTCACTGAAGGATATTGAGGATAATTTTGCTTTGCTGAAAATACTGGAATATGTAGAGAATGGAATAAAAAGCTCACATATATGCATGAAAAGAGTTCCAGATTGGAAAAGTGGAGAGCCTGGGGAAGAGACAATATTTTATATAAATGACTGACATTTAACAAAATTGAATAAATCTCAGTTTACAGGAGTCCTCAAGTTGAATAAAGCTCAATTTAAATGAGTCCTCAAGTTGAATAAAGCTCAACTAGACTGGAATAAATAAAAAGAAGTCACACCTAGGTAGGTTTGAATGAAACTCAGAACATCAGTGATCAGGAAGGTATCATAAAAGCTACTGAGGACCAAAAGCAGAATACCTACAGGGTGACAAAGTTGACAGTAGACTTTTCATCAATAATAGATATTGGAAGACAATGGAATGACATCTTCAGTATGCTCAGCAAATTTCCAAATGTCCTGTAAACTGTGATTCAAAAGTGAAGACAAAATATTTTCAGACATACAAGTATTTTCAGATAAACAAACTATGAGAATTTATTACCTATATATTCTTGCTGAATTAATAAACAATATGCTAGTGTAAAAAAAGGAAAATGAAGCCAGAAAGAAGGAGCAAGCTGTATAAAGCTATCTAGAATTCTACATATAAAGAAGAATTTTTTTTTTACTCTTGTACTCAGCCATTAAAATTGTAGCAAGTGCTGCAAAGGAAAACAGAAAGCTATGAGAATGTAGAGGTGATTTGACTCAACTTAAAGAATACTCTAAGAACCTCACTGTAGAGAGTCACAACAAA